GTCAGAAGAAGCGTCGTTAGTACAGAACCATTGAAAAAACATAGCTCAAAGACCACAAAAGAGTTTTGCTCTTTTGTCAAGGTTGGAATAGAACAAAAGCATTTAAGATGGTTTACCAGATGCATGGATGCAAGAGTTAGATAGCAACCATTACCACGGTTATTAAAGCCATGATGCACCAGAGTCGGGAAGAGCAATTTTGGTCCATAATTCACAAGCTAAAACATAGCAATATTTATGTTACAATCTGTCAGAAGAAGCGTCGTTAGTACAGAACCATTGAGGTCTTTCGGAGACAGGCCGACCACTCCTTAATCTGCAAAGAGGGGAGACTACGAGGTTTTTTTACGTCACATGCTCCAACTTACCGATCAATCTCACCATACCGGTAGATCACAAGCTCCATCAGCTCACTAGTCTCATTGGAAGTACACCTCTTTACTATATAAGGAATGTAGAACCAACCTTATAATCCTAAGAAGGCACATTGCTTTCTAGCATGCTCAGGTATCAACTTCACGACAATCTCCGATGGTACTCCTTTCAACTCTAATTGACAAAAGAAAGCAAATTAATATCTGCTGATTCGAACAGATGATTACTGAAAAACAATCTTTTCACAATTATTACTATTTAAACAAAGACTCACCGTAAGGCTTAAAATTGAAAAGAGGGGGCAGAAAACGGCCATTTGGTAAGCGAGTAGTTGGATCTCGAAGCTCATCAAAGAATGGATGAATTAGTGCTTCTAACTGTATCAAACGAAAGGAAAAGTGGATCAGATAAACATGCCACAATTGTCGATTCAGATAAAGGCATTCTGTACTCACAGCAGTGCATCGAAGGTTTGGAGAGTACTGCAAAAGCCTAGATACCAGATCAACAGCCTCTGGAGGCATTCGCTTGTGAAAGATCTGATTAAAACAGATAATGCAAATAGATTTCACTACAGATAAAAGATAAGTAAAGGTAATGTGAGTATATATAGTAATTCATCCGATGTGTACCTTGTGCCAAGGATGACCTTTAATTTGTGGAAATTTGAACTCGGTATAATTTGGGTTCATGCATTTAATTTCTTCTCTTGTGGGCGTACCTAAAACCTGCAAAATCAAGATTACATATGAGAAGGGCAATTGAGAGGATTAGCAATTGATACCAAATCATGAACACAAAACAGTCACACACCTTAATTATTTCGACCAGCTGGTCAACTCCACTTTCGCCAGGAAAAAGAGGCTGTTTGGACAACAAATCAATTTAATCGGTAATAAATGACATAAATAATATGCAAGGTATCCTACACACATTAAAAAAATGATCTTAGCTACCTGCCCAAGAAGTAGTTCAGCAAGAACACAACCCGCAGACCAGATATCAATTGCTGTCGTATATTCGATTGCCCCAAAAATAAGCTCAGGAGCTCTATAGTACCTGGAACATATGTATGATATATTTGGTTCCCCTTTTACCTACCAAAGCAGGAAAAATTTTCAGCATTGAAGTTACAAAAAAATTAGTATAAATATTGACCACAATTATGGGGATGAAGCATATTACCAACACTTTTGCACTCCCAAAGTCGCATATTTTCAATTGATGAGTATGTGGATTGACCTGTGATCCAAAATGAGAGAACGATTAGTAAAGAACACCACTACTTTGTATATCATTGGTTCCAAAAGCACAACATAAATTAAGTATGTATTATTGCTTCTATATAGGTAAAGAAACAACAAAACTGCATTATAAAATTTGCAATGCAAGAAAACTATAACTCTTCTTATTACTTTCATGTGAAACAGATGGTTTAAAATAAAATATGAATCACAGTAAGTTAAGAGAAAGAATCAGATTAGTATATACCAGAAGATTTTGGGGCTTAATGTCACGGTGGCACACCCCAATGCAGCCATGGATGTATGCCAGTGCTCTACATATCTGTTACAAATAGAATAATCAACTGTATCAACAGATCTTCAAGTACACTAAAACAAGGGGGGTACATTTTAACAATATTATCTAGAGTCTAGACAATAACTGGAAAATTGGCACTAGTCTTGCTAGCATATGACTAGCTTACTAAACTGAGGACAAAGCCAAATCCATATAATTATTACAGAAAATTTTATGACAACAAAGTATAACATGTAAAAGATCAAAACATACTCCTGATGAAAAGCTAAAAATAATAACATTACAAGCTAAACCCACCTGGTACATGTACAGCTTCACATATATTAGCGGCATACGTTGGTTCATCTTGTTGTAGTGTTTAATAACACGATGAACTGTCTCTGGTACATATTCAAGTACCAGATTAAGATACAGCTCATCCTTCTCAGTTGTTGAAAAGAAGCAATGCTTCAAATAGATAACATTTGGATGGTCAAGAAGGCGCATGGTTTGTAGCTCACGGTTCTTGTACCTCTTATCTTGAAGAACCTTTTTTATAGCTACAGATTCACCTGTCTCTAGACATTTGGCCTACAAAGAAGAAAAAACCAGAAAGATGAGAAAATAATCAAATAAATCTCATACAAAATTTCTCGTCATGCTTCCAGTACAACCAACAAAGGTCTGTAATTAGAATTTTCAAGTCTTATAATGAACTTGATGAGAAATTTGGTTGACCAATATATCACAAGACCAACCTGAAAAACAACCCCAAATGATCCATGACCTACAGCACGCTCAGCCATGTAGCTTACAGTCTGCAATCAAAATCAACAGTTTCTAAGAGTATGTTTGCAGAATATGTAAAAAATTTAGCAAACATAAACACAACAAAACAAATAGAGATATTTAAATATTGTAATCCATTTTACTAAAAGGCCAGCATAGATAGCCTACTCCTTCATAACTCCTTGAAACTCAAAATATCTTTTTGTATAAAAAAAGACAACATCTATGCCCTCAACTTCTTTTGTGTTCATTAATTATGTTTACCTGCTTTGGCTGACCATTTTTCCCATTGATAGTAGTAACAATTATATGACCTGCTTCTGTCCCTTTCCCATTAATCACTGTTGCTTCCACTTCCTGCAGTAGTTCATCAAATCAGTCATAAAAGTTCATGTGGCTCGTCTCATTTGTCATATAGGCAACTTTTATTTTCAAATAATTGCCACAGCGAAAAGACATCACATGTCAAAGGCACAACAGGTGCTGATCAGCTACCTTATCATCCCTTATCTTCATATCACTCATCTCTTGTGGCAATTTGTCCATACCAAGACTAGTGCCACTGGTGTTTTTCAACCCTGACGAGGGCACCATGTTCACTGAAGCCATCTATTTGCAACAGAAACAGAGCTGGATCCAATTACAACGTACCCTAAGCACCTTTCTCACAATAAGATAACATCTACCTGTTTTCAAACATATGAAAAATATCAACAGGCATAATGAAAATGTGAAAAATATCTCAACTATCTCATTTGACAGATGAAACTTACAGCAAAACATCTAAGACAAACCAAGTCCAATTATTAAAGCTTCGTAAAAAAAAAAAAATCAGTCTGCAGAAGAAAGCTCAAGTAAGAATGCAGCGTAGAAACAATAAAATTAGGAACAAATAATATACATGAAAGGAATAATTAATATCATGTCATCATTCACAACACAGCTATACTGAAATTTGGTCCTCGAATCCTCCAGTTGCTCAGTAAGGCATGATCATCAGTGCATCATAGAGCAAATGAGAGTATGCCATTAGTATTAGCTACATTAATCAGCCAAGAAGCTGAATCCAAGATTACCAATAGTAGCATAGTTAGACGAATCACGAAACTAGCAAGTCCCATGACTAAACAACAGACATGCACTTTCCAGCCTACTGAAAGAGATTTAGCAAGTAATCCTAAATATTGTTCAAAATGTCATAAAAAATCACAGATTTATCTTGATAAAAAAGAAAATGTTGAATATTCGCCTGAGCTTCCGTCTCAAGCACATCATCCACGACAAGATCTCAATCGAATACACCCAATGTACGATAAATGCATGCATGAAGAACAAGATAGAAAGGGGTATTTCATAGAAAACATCCTTGATGTTCGTGGTGTAACTCGCTCGTCAGTGAGAGCCATTGGTACTACATCAGAATCGACTTCTTTGTAGCAGAAAAGAAATGGAAAGCCAAATGACCCATAAAAAATGCTAATTTCGCTCTCCAAAGTAAATCGCCGAACCTCACCATGCCTAGTGCACTACAAATTGTCAAGAAATGTAGCACAAAGACACGCTAAAGCATTCTAAACTAATCCTCAACCATCACCATTTTTTTTCGGGAAGACTGCATCAACAAATTTTTTTTAATCTCACGATTTTTCAGGAAGACTACAGCGACATTTTCTTTAAAATCTTCACAGAAACTACATACCTACCTGCTAAAAAAGGAAGATTTTGATGAAAGACTAAGAACATCACCGATTTAAAAGGAATAACATCAATACGTACAACGATAAAACATGCATTTATGAAGCAAAAATGTTCTAAATTGCGAATAAAAGGCTCCCGAATAGTCAAAAGTTGTTTTTTTTTTCTTGTCCCATCAAGTAAATCCAAAGATCAGCGCAAAAAATAATTTTCAGGGCACGAACCAAACAAACGCATATAAACCAATTTCGTCCTTCGAAATCCAACCGGAAGCGAGAAGAACCCCCGACCTATTGCTCCTAAAATGATAGAGACAACAACAATGCCTTCAAAATCGATTAAAAATCAGACGTTTGCAAATAGTGTCCAGATTTGATCAACAGACACACGAATCAAACTAAAACAACCAATAATTCGTTTCTAAAAACCAACCGCTCTACGAATTCTCCAGCAGAGAACCAAAATGCTCACGACATGCAGGCCCGCCGCTCCGATCGACCGCGATGACCATCAAAAGCGGATCCGAGAAACCCAAAGCACGGCGAACGATCGCCCACCCTCCTCGCCGCGCCTGGTCTTCTGGCTCTCCTCTCTTCCCTCTGCTACGGCTCCAGATTGAGATCAGAAATCGAGGGCTTTAATCGCATCCCGTGTCCCGCTTTTGGGTAGAATATGGATTTCTCTTCTCCCGATGACAGTCAAAGGCAAAGCATCTTCGGAGTGCTCAAACGTACTCTTTCTTTGACCGTTCAGACTTGATTCCAACCACCTCCTAACCACATTATTATTATTATTAATTTCACGTGTTTTAATATTATTTTAATACTAACTTTTTCTGCTAATAAATATTGAATATTTTAAATGACTAAGTTGCTTTTGTCCTTTCATTTAATTACATCTCGTCCATAGAAATAGAAATATAGAATAGTGAAATTGCCCCTGTCGCTCGATCGACATCAGACGGTTAATAACAGTCTTAGAGAGCGGCTTCGCGTCACGGGTGTCGTCGATGGAGGATCGGACGGCTGGAGATTAGCCTAAAGCGATGACCGCGGGAATCACCAAGTCGAGGGTTGTTTCGGCAAGTTAGTTTAGGGATATGGCGCAATCATTGGTGGCAACCGCAAGGTGCTGTCTACCTGGCGGACCGCCACGTGTCGAATCTGGAAAACTTCGTAGGGTTGGTCCTAAGGTGGGTCCGACGGAGACCACCATCCAAAAGGCAGGTAACGTTGATGAGTAGTGCGAACAAGGGGTTCGGAGAAATATACCGTGACTTACGAGTCATGTTACCTCGCGGTCGAGTTACCGAATCTTAATTAGACCGGGAGGGAAGAAGGTTTCCTCGAATAACAAGATGGGGGGCCGGTCAACCCACGGTTTGCGTGCCGGTTTGACTGCGCAAAAGCTGCGGTGTTGCGAGGCCGATCGCGGCTCCCCCCGGTGAGATCAGTGGGGTTACCGGAGACAATTGCCTCGGCTCGCGTGAAAGAGGTCGACGGTTTAGTTTTAGGGACTAATTAATTATATTTTTAGTTTCGATATTTTAAAAAATTATTTTAAGATTTTTTATATATTTATAAAAATAAAAATATTTAACTCTTTTTCTTCTCTTGGAAAAAATACCATAGAGTTTATCGATGAGCACATATTTGTGTGTTTATATGTTTTTAGATACAAATACGACGAATGTGATGGAAGAGAAATTAAAATATGTAAATATCTTTGTTCGTTACGTCAAACTGAAAAAGACGGGGGGAAGGAAACGGAGATGAAGTATAAGCGAGGTCAAGAAGACTGAGGAGTTCGGTTGCTGGCAGAAGCGGTTTCGCCATGGCTGGGTTGGCTACCTCGAGCACGGAGATGGATCTCGACCGCCCCAACATCGACGAGTACCTCACCGTGGAGTCGATCCGGGAGGCCCCCAAGAAGCTCCACCTGTGTGTATTCTTGGGTCACCTTGTTTTGTTCTTTTTCACGTTTTCTTTTGGGGAATTCTTGACGTGCTAGGTTTCTTGATGGAGCCTTAATTGTTCTTTGGTTCAGGAGGGACCTCCTCGACATTTCTCCTACTCTCAAAGAAGCTGCCGGCGCCATCGTGGACGTGAGTTCCTCTCTCTCTCTCTGTCTCTCTGTATTAATTCGAGGGTTGGGAATGGTGGGGGCAAATGTTTTTTTATTTCGTCGATGAGGTTTGCTGGTTATGGTGGCTTTAGTTAGTGATGTATTCGTCTCGAATGAATGACTGTTCTCAGATGGAGTTAGAGAATTAGATGAAGTATAGCCTTGATTTGATTGGATAAAGTGTTTTTGTTGAAACCTTTATTTCTTGACTTGCTTATGTCGTCGGTTTCTTACATTGAAATCCACTTTTTATGTGTAATATCATGCGGACAAGGGGCCATTCTCAAGAGTATAAACTAATGGGGGAAGAGAATCATCAACCATGTGTCATTCTCAAGAGCTAATGCTGTCTCTTTCATTCGGTCGTTAATTTTCACAAGTTAGTCTTGTCTCTGAAGTTTCACAAATGCAATTCTGTTATTTAGTCATTTTCTGTTGTATTATTTTCCTATGGAATCTGGTTGGATGGATTAGCTCATAGCTAATGTTTCAGGTATTACTTAATTCATCTTATACTTTATGCCCTGTAACTGCATTTGTTTTCCGTCAGTACAGGACTCCTTCACTCGTTGCTTTAAGTCGAATCCTTCAGAACCCTGGAATTGGAATATCTATTTGTTCCCTTTATGGTGCTTGGGAGTAGTTATTAGATATGGGATTCTTTTTCCATTCAGGTATGAATTACTTTCTCTTTATTAGTAGAATAGTTGTCAATATAGGCAGATATTATTAATTTAAATGATCTAAGAGATTTTCTTTTTTTAGTTTATGATGGATTTCATCTATTCCTTTGCATTACATGAAGATTGGCTTTGTTATTTACTTGAGAAGTTCTTTTTGTTAAACTTAATATTCTTAAAAATGCAATAAATAACATGTAAGTGGCCACTTGTATAAGATCATAGTCTATATTATCAAAGTAATCAATTAATTTACTTAAGCACTGCATGTAAAATATCATACACTGTTTGCCACAAGTTTCATGTAAAGTGGATGTGCTATACAATAGCAAAACGCAAAAGGTAACATGATCATCCACAATCTATACCATTTAAAACATCAAAAGCATCACAGTATCACATTGGCCATCCATGATACACTATATCATTGATAGAAAATTGAAAATTATAACACTAGAGTGGTAGAGCATATCAATTTATGGATAAGATCAAAAGATAATTAATGAGAATCAATTGGTAATGCCCAAGACTAAAAAATTTAGGCCTGGAAATTGTTTCATAATAATAAAATGAAAATAATGTCCAAGACTAATGGCCTGGAAGTAGAAGGATGGATATACTTGTATATAAGGCTTGATCTATTTTCATTAATTCTAGGCTTATCAAGTTAGTGGGTCAATTTTTGAATTAGAATAAATCATGACATATGGTACCTATACTACGCATATGCTAAGAGGCTTAGGTATGAAATCACTATCCATTGACGATACTGTAGATCAAGGATTTTAATTTCGAATGAAACCGCCTGCTACCGGGCGATACCATCGATTGGGGTTGTTTTCACCTTGTTATCGCCCAAATCAGTCGGTAAAGGTCGATTTCGATCGTCGTCGCCCGCTACTTGGTGGTATTAGTCGAGCGAGAAGTAAGAAGAGGGAGAAGAAAAGGGAGGGAGAACCTGAAGATCCAACGCTGCTCTCTCTCGATGATCCCGATCCATCGCCACCCTCTCTCGTCGGACGCCACAAATGAGATGCCGCCTCCTCGTTTGTGGTGACGAGGCCTCGGCATCGTCGGCGACTTCTCCTCATTTGCGTGGGGAGAAGAAACGAGGCGACATCACCCTTTTTATTATCTTTTAACATTATACACACACACACACACACACACACCCCCCAATTCTTCTACTCGGTTTCTTCTCCCCTCGTGGGGAGAAGAAACGAGGCGACGTCGCCTTTTCTATTTTTTTTTAACTTATTATATATATATATATATATATATATATATATATATATATATATATATATATATATATATATATATATATATATGTATGTATGTACTGAGCGGTACATCGAAGCATACGGTATGCTCGTACCATACTGTATTGAGCTGAGATTGAAACTCTAGTATGGTACGAAATTATAATCCTTGCTGTAGACACATTAGTCTCACATAGGAAGTGATATGATGGATGCGGTTTTTGGGTTAGTATCCCATCAGGCCTGGTCATGATGCTGTAACATATTTTCATGGCCTGTTACATTTGTGTTTATCTTTTTGTTCATGTAAAGAAATAAGAGGGATTATGCTAAGAATGAAAAGAAGAGAATTTGATGCAAGAAGCCAAGAAGGAGATTGATTGGGATAGTATTGTTGGTCCACTCATTGCCTGCAGCCATTTGGACCATTTGAACACTATGTGTTTTAGATAGTCTTATTTAGTTTCAAATGATATCAAGCTGGTGTTTGATCGGGCATAGCTAATGCCATCACTTATCTTGCATGATAGGGAGATATGAAACCCCTATCAAAATGATACAGAGTTTACCTATATTTAGGTTCACTAGCTCATTCTGCAACAGCAAGTGATCATAATGAAGATTAATTAAGTTGTTACATCTGCTGTGCCAGCCAGAACTTCTGTTTTTAGGACCTAATATTGAAATAAAAAGCCAATAAACTGAGGAAATGCTTTTTGTCTAAATTGACACTAGACAAGTTGCACTGTGATTACCACCTTTTTCTTTTTCTTGAAGGAATTAGCTCTCAATAACATTCAATAGGGTAGACTTTATCTTATGCAACTTGTTATATATCTTGGTTTGGGTTGATGAGTTACATATTTATTTGCCTTCTGTGTCTGGAACGAGGTTTGTCTGGTTTTTATTTCATCAATTCTCCTTGATAGTTAATTTTGGTTTATATATGTAGAAATTCACTATATTTGTTTATTTTTATCAATTATGACAACCTATGGCGTGAAGTATTTATGTTGCCACAACTTAGGGCTCATTTTACTTTCATATGTTGCAGAAAAATATTTGTCTTCTTCAGTGTTATTTTCTGTTCTTGTATACATTTAGAATCTCCTATCGGTAACTTGTTTTATCTCATTCTTTATATTCATCTCAAACTAAGATCTCTTATGTGTTGTCGTAGAGTTATAATCTTGGTTGCAGGATGGATAGTATTCTTTGCAGCCTTTTCACTGGTGCATTTCCTTTTAGGAGAACATAATAAGTGGAAGCGTGAAATAGAGGTAGATTTCTTGTTGCAAGTAACCTGCTTGTTTGATCTTCTAGCCAGCTATTGCAGTTTTTTCTTTTAATTTCATCCACAAAGTTCTTCATGTTGATGATTGGTTTTTGTTCTGTTCTTGATGATGCTCCTTAAAGCTAAATAGTTAAATAACAAAATTTTCAATCTTGAAATGTATGGTTCTTTTTGTTTAAAGGACTAATTATCTTTGCTTTCTCAGATCTGTGCTTATATCGGTAATTAAGATATATTCTAGGTGTCTTTTTTTTGCTTTGTCCATTTGTATGCAGAGGAAACTGGTTGAGATGATATGCAGCGTATTTGTTGCTTCATGGACGGCAGTGATTAAATACCATGGACCTCGTCCCAGCATGCGCCCTCAACAGGTTCTTAATATTCATACAGAACTCAGATATGATAGATCTTGTTTTTCTCTGAGATTAAGCAAACTTCATTTAATAGGTCTTCGTTGCCAACCACACTTCTATGATTGATTTCATCATCTTAGAACAGATGACAGCATTTGCTGTCATTATGCAAAAGCATCCTGGTTGGGTTGGTAAGAGCCTACATTTACTCGATTTTGAGCCTTATTCTTTTGTTTTTCTAGCTATTTATCTGAGTAAAGTAACATTAATGCTTGATTTTTCTGCCATAGGATTTATCCAGAAGATCATCGTAGAAAGTTTAGGTTGTATATGGTTCAACCGTACAGAGGCTAAGGACCGTGAAATTGTTGCTAGAAAGTAAGAGTTGCCTTCTTTTGCTACAAAGTGTAATTGTTCTTTTCTTTTTATAGTCTTGATGTTTACTTTCTGGATATCTAGGTTGAGAGAACACATTCAAGGAGTTGACAACAACCCTCTTCTGATATTTCCTGAGGGAACTTGCGTTAACAACCATTATACTGTTATGTTCAAGAAGGTTTGCCCAATATTTCCAAAGTCACTGTACTTATATGTATATGATGCTTTTGCTGAGATACTCATACTGGATAAGTTTAGATTCACAGTAAGCAAAACATAAGTTTCGAGTTGCACTCCAATCTTTTATGCATGTTCATATTAGACTTTGATGAGTAGTCAAAACACCCATATTTGCTTACAAGCTCAGGTCTATGCAGCATGTATTGAAAAATCAGATCAAAATGACGAGCCAATTTCATGTTAGCTCTCACATCTCATTCCTGAATCCATCATGCTGCAAGATCAACATGGTTTTTCATTATCTTTTCTATGGACCAATGTGCTTATTAGTTGGATGCACAAACGGCACAAAACATGAACTTTGTTGTTTTTAGATAGAATAAAGAGGCAGCGAGGATGCCTTGGATCAGTTGCTTGTGCAGATACAGATGGTCGACTCATCATATTACATCTCCTACCGTGTGAGAAATATCATGTTATCTGTATTATCATCGGAACTTCAGCAATCTCATCTTGTTCAAGAGAGATTGTACTTGATACTTAAAATGAATCAGTTGTAGATTGTAGCCTTCTCTAATCCAACTGATAATCTCTCCAAAATGGTTAACATTATAAAATTGTGTTCGTAAGCAGTAGATTTGAACAAAAGTATTCATCATTATGAAATGTTTCTTTGCATTTGAATTATTGTTTGGATCAATATGAAAAGTACTTGCTAATACTGATTGCTTCTGTATCCGTGCGATGTTGTTGGAATCCACTGGCTTGTTGTTGCAGGTGTACTTCTAGCATTTAAGATTATTTTTGCTTCTTAAACACTTTCTTGTTAAGTCTCCTGCATTTTTGGTTGTCCCTTCAATCTTAATTAGTTACTATAAAATTTTAACTTTAGAAAAGTTCACCTTCTTTTGTGATCCATGTGCAGGGTGCTTTTGAACTTGGTTGTGCTGTTTGTCCTGTAGCAATCAAGTACAACAAGATTTTTGTGGATGCTTTCTGGAACAGCAAAAAGTAGGTGCCTTAATTGTGACTAGGTTTAGATGAAAACTTGATTTTTATAATTTCATGATTTAATATGGAATCAAAAGCACAAAAGTATGTGAGATGATAGTGCATCAATTAAGTTACAAATGTTAAGCATAAGATTGTAACAGTCTCCACTCTCCAATAGGTTAGGTGTTTGACCTCATTTTAACTTTTATTGAGAGCAAAGAGTTTTCATTCACCAAAGTAAAAGAATGCATGATTTTGTGTGATAGATCATGCCTGCATTATCAAACTAAGCTTGAACTATACAAGTATTTTAACTATTTTCTTGATAGTTTAACTTATCCAAGACAGAAGTATCAACTTATGTAATACTGTCAATCAAGATTTTATCACAATGGTAAATATGTTCATCATGTCATGTGATTTGACAGAGTGTCTTAGCAAAATAAAATTCTAGACTAAGAGGGTTGTCTATATGACTGCTGTTCTAGAGGGAAGTTTGTAGGCAACCAAGTGTTGAATCTCCACTGTGTTGTATACTATGAGGATTGTAGAACATATATGATGCCTTGTTTTTATGGCCCAGTATCATGTGGATAACATGACGATTATCTCCATATAATGATTATATTTTTCATGTTTGGTCATGTGTGGCAAAAGGAGGGTGCATGATGTTGCATCTTTTTCACAGCAAGCAAAATAAGACCACCTCAGCAGAAGCCTTAAAATGATATCCTGCTTACATCTCTGGTGGATGACAACTCTCTAACTTGACTTGGATGAGCCAAACTAGTAGATTTTTTTCTATTGAGCACTCTATTTTTGAAGTCAGTATTTTTTTTTAGGAGATAATGACAGCTCATGTTGATCAACCCTTATAACGTGGTGTTTACGAGAATTATATGGGCACTTTGATTATATATAAGGTCCATGATGACTACGGGAGGCTGTTATTTTTCATGAATATTTTCTCTTCTTTTTACAATTGAAGGGCTTGGATGTTTATTGGCTTGTAAAGTCATGTAAGATTGTTGCACGCTTCATTTATATGCAGCATCTCATTTCTACCTTACTGTTGTTTGGCAGGCAATCTTTCACGATGCACTTAGTACAGCTTATGACATCATGGGCTGTTGTTTGTGATGTTTGGTACCTGGAGCCTCAGTATATAAGGCCTGGAGAGACTCCTATTGAATTTGCTGAAAGGTGAAATTGTTTTAGAGCTTCATGATATACAACATTGTAAGCAGAAACAGTCATTTCACTGATACTGTCTATATGGTCATGCCATGTAGGGTTCAAGACATGATCTCTGTTCGAGCTGGTCTCAAAAAGGTCCCATGGGATGGCTATCTAAAGTACTTCCGCCCCAGTCCCAAGCTCATAGAGCGCAAGTATGATACATGTCAACCTTTCTATTTTTCTTGCAAAATACAAAATGCATTTTATTTTTGTGTAAATGCTTGCAGCATCTTACATTTCCTAGTGCTTGGATTATGTGTTCACATAATTAGGTGTAAGTTCTATTGTATTATTTTTTGTTATATTATTGAGGCAAATATTAATTTGAGCTACTACAATCAGGGTTGACATATATAGTAGCAACATCAACAGTCCAAGGTACAACTTATATAATGAACAGAAGTTTGAAGAAGCAGAAGTAATCAGTATCTTGCTTCTATTGTTCGATGTGAAGAGGAGATTAGACATATTGGTCATATACTTAAATTAGGATGGTTAAAGCAAGAGGGTCATTCTAAGTGTCGTGGTGTAGTATGTTGTCTAACCCATTGGTTGAAAGAACAAAAAATTATAAGACAAAATTATGACTAGCAATGCTATATGAATTGAAATGTTGAGCAATTAAGGAATGATATTTAAAAAAGGATTAGGCATGCTTTGATTTTTTTTTTTTCCAAAAGGAAAAGGTTAACCTATTGATTCTTAGTGTTATATAAATAACAAATAAATAAAAGTTTGCATTTGTTGACATTTAGGAATAGTTTTAATTAAGGACTAAAATTGAGAAAAAAAACCATTTTGGGTGGTTTGAACATGTACAAAGGAAGCTAATGAATGAATTAAATCATGTTAGGTGACTCAATTTATGTTTGTCTGGTAACTTTACCTGGAACATTGCTAATAATGGAGTGATGGGAAAAATTTTATGTTGCTGATCACAAACAATTTGGATTTTTGGCTTCATCTTGTTGTTATAAAACCATATTGTTCTTTTCCTTACAACTGGAGTCTCTAGTTGAGTAAAGCATTTAAAAAAAAAATAAAACTAGCTGTATTTTTAGAAGAAATCTGAGAATTTTGAGAAAAACTATTATCATGCTATGTTATAGTGCTACAAAGGAATCAATCAGAGGAAGTAAATCTAAAAGGGTTTGTATGGTTCATTTTAGTTAAAGGGTGATATTTATACTACTTTGAAGCCTATTAGTCCTCAAATAACAAGAAGTGACGAGGAAGAACATTATACATATGAAGCCAAAGTTCATCTATGCAATATCATTATGTAGTTGCGGTGATATCAGCCTCTTCCAGCCACAGCGCATGACATATTGCATAAATCATATGGCTGCATTTGCATATGTTGCCACATGAAGAGCATATGAGAACACCTACACGTTAATCTACAAGTGATTTGATATTTTCTAAGCTTCTTGGTGCATGATACCTTTAGCAATGTGAGAAGTGATAGAAAGTTAGAAAGTACATGTAGATGCAGTTTTATTTCAATCGAGTGATGGTTTTTTTTGTAGGTGCATACTGCCTCTGTTCTTTTTTTCTTTTTCTTTTTTTTCTTTTTTGCATCTTTTTGTAAATTACTTGCCTAATTTGCAGGCAGCAGATCTTTGCGGAGTCAGTCTTACAGCGATTGGAGGAGAAATGAACAGATAATAAAAAGATTAGTGTTGGAAACGGATCCATTAGTGAGGACCAGCATGTGTATAAGGTGAATCATGGCCAATATTATATTATTGTACAGTTAAGCAATCACGATCATTCAGGTGTGTCAAGTACGGGGCTTGCCGTGCCCTGTTTCTTACGTAAAGGTTGGAGTCTCAGCTTGTGTAAGGTGAATGAATCACGGCCAATGTAATTGTTGTACATTTCAGCCATCATGATCATGCGTCAAATCTGGGGTTTTTGGCGGAGCCCCGTTTCCTTTCCTGTTTCTTACCCAAATGTTGAGGTCAAATCTAATTCATGATTTGCGTTCATAATACAAGATATTATGGTGAAGCGTTGATAGGGTATTACTCGCCGTGGATCTCCGCTCCGTTCGCCAATCGCGTCAACTTGGTTGGCTAAAATGATCATTTTTCTTCCAATGTTTCTACCTCAAACCACCTCTCGTATAAAATGAACGACTCGCAATTCGTCGCACCAAAATCTATAGTTAACGTAACGCTTTTTGACTATTTAACTCTGCACAAAACATGAGCGACAGAGAGAGAGAGAGAGAGAGAGAGAGAGTATTAGGAAGAGAGACTGACAACCCACAGACACAGCGACACAACAATCCGACACCGCTCATCATATACACTACTGCTCACCACAATAGCATAACAGCGATGACCATGACCATGACCATGACCACATGCATCAAGCTTGGGTGAAGCGGAGGTACTCCTTCTTGGACGGCAGATCCGTGGTCTCGAACCCCTGCGGGAACATCTGCTTGGCCTCCTCGTTCGACACACTGGGCGAGATCACCACCGGGTCCCCCGGCTTCCAGTTCACCGGCGTCGCCACCTTGTGCTTCGCCGCCTTCTGCAGTGAGTCCACCACCCTCAACACCTCGTCCATGTTCCGCCCCGTCGACGCCGGGTACAGCATGCTCAGCTTCACCTGCACCACCACCACCACCACCACAACAAACGCCGTCGCACCTACAAAACCACGCACAATCAATTTGTCACTGTCACGCTACCTTCTTATCTGGTCCGACAACATGCAGTGCCCTCGACGGAAGCTGGTTTCCGCTGGCGTCCTCCTCGTCGGGATCCACCATGTTAAGCTGCTTGATCACCTCCCTCTTTGGGTCCGCCGCGATCGGATACGTCACGAGGCTCCCCGGCTGCCGTAGTCAAACACCAGTCATCAACACCGATGCTGCTGTAACGATGGAGGTAACGTAACGCGCGGGGAGAGCACACCGTGTAAGCCTCCACGTCCTTGATCCATTCCTTGTGGGACTCTACGTCGTCGCACGATAAGCCGAGCAGCTTCACCCCTCTCTTCTCGAACTCCGGCGCGTACTTCGCCATCATCCCCAGCTCCGTGGTGCACACCGGCGTGAAGTCAGCTGCAGCGCGTGCAAGCAATCAGTCAAACACCGACGAGGGAGGAAGGGAGGGCTGAGATGGCTTACCGGGGTGGGAGAAGACGATGCAATAGCCATCGCCGACGTAGTCGTGGATCCGTATCTTCCCCTGGGTGGTCTCCAGCTCCAGGTCAGCTACGGTGTCTCCGATCGTCAGCCCCGGCATCTTTCGACGGTGACGCTCTCCTCGGTATTCGAACCCTTCCCACCGGTGATGGCTTGAACGCGAGCCGCGGGGCCTCGGTTAAGAAGAACCCCGTCTCGGCCGCATGCAGCGCACGTGTCGGGGTCGTGGCAGCAGTCGTGACGACGTGTCCTGCCTCCCTCGCGAATGTTCGGACGGAGACGAACGGGAGCGGCGCTGTCGACGTCACGTCAACACGAATTCGTTCAGCGGGAAGAACACCTTGTTACTAATCTTCGGATACGAAGAGGATGCTCCACGTGTCGGTAGGAGACGAGGGGCGCAACGTAAGGGAAGCGAGCCATGAGACACGACTTATCCTTGGAGGCTCCCGGAAGGAAACCGATGTAGGCGTTCCCTTCCCTGCTCGTAGCGTTGATGGCGTTCGGTGACATGACGCTGAGCGACCTGTTCATCCATCAGGTAAAAAAGAGCTTTAGTGTAGACATTTCACTAAAGATGAATGATGTACTTAAATACTTCTCAATCTTAGGGAATACTTACAGGACGTCTTCCTGAAGGTTCTGATGCAACCGTGCAGTTGACGGTGTAGATCCATCCGCGAGTACCGCTTACACCAGTAAGAAAAATGGAGGGTCTCTATACACTAATCAACACTAGGAGTTGCAAATCTAGACAGAAGGTACAAGTTTGGCATCCACAATCTGGGAAAGAAACAATAGATGAAAGTCCGAAATTACAAATGTTTCGAAGGCATTCTCACATATCCACAGCATAAATTGATTGATCCATGTAATGTTTTCACTCTATGCCAAATGTACACGGGAAGGGCGTTGGAAATCCTGCCCAAGGGAAGCAAGTGACATACTCATCCCCAAATGAGGCGCTTTAAGCTCTGTGACTTCTGACATGTTCCTCACACACACGGCACTGGAGCAGTTCCTCCGTCAAACATGAAAGCAAACTGTCAATTTCCAAGAGCTTCTAATGACAACAATTTCCTTCCAGCTGGAGGCGCCAATCCCGGTATGTCTCTGATGTTCTTGTCGTTCGGGTGCACAATCTGCCAATTGGGAAACAAAAAAGGTTAGATGATAGTAATTAGAATCATCGCCATCTGGGTTACACAGTGACTTTGTGGATGCTCTGTGCAGGAACACGCCTATGTGACAAAACTATTTACGACTCTGTGATGTTATTGTCAAAGTTAAATGGATTGAAATAGTTGTTTGTAGATCCATTTATTCAGTAAAATGTGTTGTTGACCAATAAAACTTACATGACATTTAGAACTTACCATATGCAAGTTCTCAATGGCTGGATGTTAACCTAAAAGTTGGTAGCCAAGTCTTCTAGCAGATAACAATAATACTTCATGCAAGTATGATGACTTAATTTGGAAAAAACATACTAATATGCTGACAGAAGTTCCAGTCTCGAAGTAAAAGAAAAGAGATGAAATGGCTGTGATTGACACAAGAAGAAGTGGGAGAGTACCTTCACGATAATGATTGCAATGACACCACAAACAATAAGAAATAAGAAAAACATGATGCACTTATCGGTGGCAACCTGAAAGAAGAGTTTTGGTCATTAGAGTAGATTAAGTGGAGAATACATAGAAGACTGGAATAAAGAGGAAAGAACATCGAGAACAGAGACCAAAGGACAACCTGCCTACCAATCTCTTTCACCAACTGAGAAGCCTTCTTGATGGAAAAATGAATGGTGTCCAGCTCATTAACAATTCGACCCATTTGTTCTGTCTGCAAAATCACAGAATTTTACTCTTTTAACAGAAAATTTGTTTGTAAAGAAGACATTTTACAAGAAGAAGAAAAATATAAGTAGGAGGAATTAAAAAAAGTCAATCACAGTCAATTGTGATCTGCTTACGAAAGTGCTTGGTAACTTACTTGGCCTTTAAGATTTGCAGCAGTTTGAGTTCCTACTTCAATGGTTTGCTCAACGACCTATAAGTTCAAAGTTATATGTGAAGATACGAAAGCAAACGATAACCCAGAGGTTGCATGAAGATAAGAATTCACCATTTTTGAACGCTCAATGGCTTGATCAGTCTCATCCATCTGCTTCCTTCCATTGTCTATCAGCTCTTGATTAGACATATCTACAAGATGACACAATATTAACGAGATAATAAGCATGCAGACTAAATGGTAAATGGCAAGTTTCTCAGAAAACAGTCGAGAAAATTGCCACTTTAGAGAAAACTATAGTTCAAAAGAGTCCATTTGCTTCATTTCTAGAACAAAGTTGCACATTGGAGTTAACCGGGCAATGGATTATGCCATTGCATACATATTGTCATCGAGTCTTAATAGGTTCACAATTATATCAATCCTACACCTTCGATTAGCCAACCATCTCATAGTATATGCCAGTTGAAAATTTTCCCATCTGATGCACTTGAAATATCACAATCAGACAGCAAGCTTGAGCATGAATAGACTGTCAATCAATGTGTTTCATAGCACCTCTATATTGGTCCATTCATCCAAAGAGTGTCACATGCTAAAATTGTATGTTGTTTGCATGCCCCTGACTAATAACACCTATCAAAACACTAAGACACTAGGTCTTATGCAAGTTCCTCTCTAGACAAAACTTGACTGAGAAAAAATAAAAATCCATTTCAAAACTCATGGTGGGTGATCCTCTCCCATTGTTCACTAACAAAAAAACAAAACAAAATTTCTGAATTATCAACTATTTCCTATCACTGTAAATGGGGATCACAAATTTTTCACTCCACCTAAATCAAAGAAGAGAAGATCTAACTTATCAATATTCTCGTACACGTTTTTCACAAGTAGATGCATAGAATCATCTGCATGCAATGATTGAAATTTAGCTTGAAGTCCAAGGCTCAAAACATGATAGTTTTATGATAGAACTCAACAAAATTGCTTAGAAGTTACGCATGTCCTTGAAAGAATTGCTTAGATCCATCCAAGTCCTTTTCCATCTCCTCATGCACCGATTATTCTATTAATTATAGCTTTTTTTTTCTTATGCTTTTCACTATCCAATATTTATGAATAACATCAAGCCAGAATCCTCAATTTCCTCAGGTGCTCTTAGCCATCTTCTGACCCAAAAATGCTAATTATAGCTGAACCATTTTCTTGTCTTCAAAAAGCACTCAGGAATTTCGAAACATTAAACTACCATGGACTGTATATTCTATTAATTATAGCATTTTTCCCATGCTCGTCACTATCCAAGATTTCTCAGTAATATCAAGCCAAAACCCCTCCATTTCTTCAGGTGGTCCTGGCCATCTTCTGACCCAAAAATCCTAAATGTAACTGAACCATTTTCTTTTCTTGAGAAACCACTCAGGAACTTCAAGACATTGAAAAGCAAAATATACAAATACTAAGTTAGTGTACCACTGTAAATGATACTTTGGTGTAAGAGATCAATTAATACCTGATGCCATCTTAACATTCTCCTGGGTTACAGGATCACTAGTTCCAGCACCCATATCAAAGAGCTCAACTCTTTTATTTCCAAGGTTACTTTGGTACCTGAAAGCCATTAATTGAAAAGGCAATCTTATCAACTAACAAAAGAGATGCAAAGATATAGTGGGATTTGTTCACTAGAGGACAGATGCATTAGAAATTAGCAAGCAAAATTGCATTAGATCTTGCACAAAGAAAAGAAACTGTATAAAAAAGAGATGCATGTTACAAGACGAAATACTGAGGATACTACAAATAGATTGGTTGAATATAGATAAATAGACAGACAAAATTCAACCACATAATAGATGCAGCTAATAATCAACAAACCCTAGGACCAGTAAATTCGAAGTCAAACATCAGGAATTGTAGACAACAACGAATATTTTGGACAGTTTGCAGAATTGATATCAGAATAAAGTTCACTTATGAATGTTATAATTAGAAGGATTGGTGGAATTGAAATCAGCAGAGAAATAACTTAAAGATTAAAAGATTATAAAAAATAGTAAAACATTAGAAAACATAAAGAAAACAATTTGTATTGATGAGGAATAACAACCACTAACAAAAAGAACAGCAAGTGCTGCATCACCTGCACTATGATGCTGCAATCGTAACTTCAAACATGGATGTCATACAGGAAATAAGAACTAGACCCCTCGACATAAAAGTATTTGAGTATATTGCCCTTTTATTTCAGAAGAATGCATGCTGCTTATAATACATAATATTTACACATATGCCCCTATTATATCTTCTGTGAGTAGACACTAAAGGTTATCAGTAATGAAGAGAGAAAAGAAAAACACATGTAGCCTTGAACATTTTTGCAACCGATTAAAGTCTACATAGCAATAAACTAAACAATCAAAAAGATTTGAGAGGGATTGTTGCAAATGCAGTTCAGGAACTAAACGTGGGTGTTTTAATCATTCTAGAACTCTAATTAATTGAACATAAACATCCTGCAATTTAACAAAGAATAGCTTGATGATTATTCACATAAATTGTAGAGGGGAATAGACACAAATACAACTTGTTTTGAACGACATTGAAGCAAATACCAAAATTGAGAATTATATAGGCAAATACATGTATTTAACAGGCATAAAAATGGACAATCCTTAAACATATATGCATGCTTTGATTGTTTCAGCAGTCCGTTTATCTTTTGCAAGGTCTCATGCAACCATTATTGTCTTTAGATAACCAAAACTTAAAGTGATAGTACATACATGATAAAGTAGCTCAGTTGGTCCCAAGAGAAAGAACATAAATTGCATGAATTTCATCATCAAATAGAGTCAGAGCTTAGTTAGCAAAACATATATGGTGGGGACACAACCTATATCACATAAAGAATCCACAAAGTGAGCATTACACTTTACATTAATAACAAGTAATGATAAGTTCTAATTTATGAAAGTTAAGAAAGATGTTTGTGGCCTTGGTCACAGGATGTAAAATACTATTGCAGAAGACAGAACTAGGAGGAGGAAGATTGACAGCAGTTTAAAACATACGTCTTTCTCAAAGCCACATATGAGTTTAGCTCCTTAATCTGCAATAACAGAAAAGGAGATTATGTTACAATTATCAAAAAGAAGATTAGAAAAAAGGCAAGAATTAGGGAACAAATTACCAACCATCGATTGCTTCTTCTCATTGAGCTGCTTATTATGCTCTGGTTGAATTCGACTCTCCTGATCTTTAAGTTCATGATCAAACTCTTTAATCAACCTGCAAAGATTAACATGCCACTAATATAAAAAAAAAAAAGGTTCACTGTGGTGATAAAAACAGAATACCTTAATGTTTTGTACTGTAAAAGCAAGTGATAAACATGAATAACTTGTATCCACTTGTATAAACCCAGGAGGATCTTTTGTATAGTATTATACAGTAAAATCAAGGTCAATTCACCTACCGCTTACATTCCCTCATCTTCCCTGTAAGCTCCTCCAACTGTTTAGTCTGTCTACTAGGGTCTTTAATCTTATCTAATTTTTGGAATCCATTCCTGCAGAGTGCAGATAATCACAGGAAAAACAATTGTCAATATTAATCAATTTGGCTTCCAAGGTTCTGCTGCAATATTGAACAGTTAGATAAACCAATTACGGCAATAAATTCAACAAATTTCCTGTAATGAATTAAGCATGAAAATTGAAGAACAAATACCAAAATATGAACAAATAAAATGACGATTACATGGATTAAAGCATCATGCAACAAAATAATATAATGCAAATGAATAAGATTAAAAAAGAGAATTCTTAAAGTACAGAATGATACAATAACAATTAAAAGCATCATCCTGTAAACTTTAAACATTAAACCAATGACTGACAAACATGCACAATAACATACAAGATGTAAAGATAACTTATATGAGAAATTTACTACTTCCAAGCATGGCAAATCTCAATTTGGATCATAGAATTACCCGAAAGGCTTCTTACAAAATTAACTATAAAACTTACCGAGCAAATAGAATATAGCTCTCCTCTAATGATATCAATTCCATATTCAACTATTTCCTAACTAAAAGGAAGTCTCATTTCCTTGTGCTATCGTTGTATTTGAAATTCTGATCTGATACACACATAGTCAGAAATCAAAGATAGCATCATGACTTCCCTAAGCACATCCTGTAAGAAACGGAAGTCCTTGAGCATCTGAGAACAAAATTCATCAGTTGTTCTTTAGATTCATATTATGAAACATAATTCTTCCACTATGATGCAGAACTATCAACAATTACATACAGGTCATCAATGATATACAGCCATTACCTATTAGATAGATTAATTTTATTTTCAGTGAGATACTACAATAATTAGAACATACTGACATGCCTCAATCTGAAAGACCACCTATAAGAGAAGTACCAAAGATCCAATCCCCCGGCTGATAGTGCTTTGACCAACATGATAAAAAATATATTAGATCAGATGTATAATCGTTGTAAGGGGACATCATCCAGTGAATGACATTTCTAACCATGTAATTAGAAGCAAGTTGGACTATGTCACTTCAAGAAAATAACTACTGAGGACAAAAGGACCAACAGAGTTTAGAGAATCTGAACTTCAATCGTAAATAAAAAGACTTACAAAACTATGGAAAAAAAGAAAACAGTTCTTTCCTGGCATTTAGAAAAGAAGACTCCGAAAGATATTCTGTCATGCTAATTTCATGTTTGCCCTCGCTAATGTAAACATCTAGAAAACTGATGCTGATCCTTCATGGAAAATACTGCAACTAGCAGACAACTCTCCTACCCTCTCCGCATGCCATGCACTTCATTAGCAATACCAACATATAATCAATTAAAATCTTTTTTTGCTTTGCCACCAAAAAAGATCCACAGATGCAACATCAGCTTTTCCTTTAATAAGACAGGTGATAAGTTCCTCCTCCTGACTTGGAAGAGCCATTATAACCTGAATAGAAAATTTAAAAAATGGATAGATGAAGTTCATTATTTCCTTTTTTCCTTTTTTTTAATCTAATTACCTGTAGTTTAAATTCTTATAAAGGCTGCTTTAAATATAAGCTCCACTACACTGCATGTCATAGATAGCTAAACTTTTCCAAGCTATGCATTTTGATTTCCGCCTATTTTTTTATGCTTTCTAAGCATTTAGAATTGTTTCCTTGTAGCTATACCTATAGGTGTTCTCCAACTTCTCTTTCAAGTCACTCTCTCTAAGAAATATTATCTATGATAAACTTTTATGACAAAAAAGCTTATTTTCCTCTAACAATTTCTAAAAACCCAAAAACTTTCTTAATCACTAATTCAAATTATGATGTCAAACTGTTGGAAAATCATAAAGCGTACACACTTTTTTATAAACTTACTAGTTTTTGCAGCGTATTTGGAGATTTCACAGTGCTAAAATCCACTGCAGTTCTAGTATCTCCTTCACAAAGCTAGTGTCGCAATCGAGCACAAGTTATTGTTATTATTATTATTATTTTATGTTACAAAGCTTCACCTTTATATTCCCCATACACCATGTAGATCTATCCTACACTACATACAGAAAATACTCTTAGTTTCCATTTTCCCTAATTTAGAATCTGATTATGATCTCAGAAGCTTCGGATAAACTAAACCAGCATGTTCATAGTGACTATCGAGTTCCCCTTGTTCCTCTTTTTTCTTTTGTCAAATGATATAAAATCACCGACAGTCAAAGTCAAGATATTCAAGAAAGATTGCTGTCCAGTAAAGATACAACTAATATCTCGATGCACATTACATTTCAACCAACATAAGTTTTAGAAAACAAAGATCCATCTAAATTTCTGTAATCTTATGCAGTTCAGAAAACTAAAAAGCAGGATTCTGGTTCTCCCATGAAGATTGCATACGCCCCTCAAAACATGAATCTGTACAGATTAAAGAAGCACGTGCATGAACTAAGCGAAACAGGGCTATCAAAACAACGACTGAAGGAGGGAAGAGGCGAACGATCTTACTGAAGGGCTCGGAAGATGTCCTGGATCTTGCCATCGATCTCCTCCAGCTCCGGGCTGATGGGCAGATCGCTCGCCATTCCTCACGCAAGAAACCAAAACCCAGCAGCAGAAACTTCCCCTAGATTCCGACTCCTCCAGTCACCACCACAGAGCGCTGCGCTTCCTGGGATCAAACCCACCGAACCACCCACATCGAGAGAAGGATCAGAAGAAAGGGTTCGAATTCAGCATACCAGATCCAAATCCCTACTCCACCAGAGAGAGAGGCTGTTTTCGAGGGCTCTCGCTGTCTTCGAACCCCCAAATCAAATCAAATTCTTCGCATCGTGGCAACGAATAGTTCTCTCTCTCTCTCTCTCTCTTTCTCATCCCTTTTTGTTTTTAAAGAGAGACGTTTATAATCCGACCCAAGAAACCTACCAGAAGCGATGGATCGTCTGATGGAAATCAGACGTTCTAAAATGTGCTGAGTGTATCTAATCAAGGTGCAGTTACGAGGGCTACAACAGGACGAACGAAAAGCGAGTTTGTTTGTGTTGACAGAGTGGATTTAGGTGGGATGCGCTGTTCGCTATGGGGCCCACTCCACCAGACGAACATGTGATGGCAGTGGGACCCGAGTAGTGAAGATCCTGTAAAACGTATATTGTATATAGAAATTATAAAGTACCTTTTAAAACCGTCCATCTGACTAGTTCTTTAAATCTCGACCGCCCTTATATTTCTACACGTGGACGGTCGAGATTAGAGAAGTTGGACACACGATTACGGGACTCCGCTGCCTACCGTCGCTCGAAATGAGCGGCTACCTTTTTCTTCCACGGCAAAAAGGAAGGGAAGAAAGAAGGACCAACGGTTGAGATTAAAAACATCTCCTTTTTATCTCAACCGTCTATCAGCTTTAAATAAACATTAAATATCAACATATTGTTTTAATTAAATCAGATATTTTGAAGGACATTTATAGAAATATTTTCTGTATTTTTTTTAAATTTAATTTAAGAGAGGAAGATATATATATATTTATTTATATATTTATATTTATACATTTGATGCTAATTGGAGTGGGAGAGAAGTAAATACGAAGACACAACTCTTCTTCCATCTGGCGTTGACCAATTGACTGTCAGTTAACGTGACAGATTATTTGTGGGGATAAATAATGTGTATTATATGTAGGAGACGTATAATAATAAATAATATTAGCTGAAGGGTTCAATGAATCGAGTGCGAAAAGGAAATACCAATTGAGTCCACAGAATGATGGTTATGACTCAGCGCGTCCGAGTGGGCGTTGTTGCGACCGTTTCGGAGTCGTGCGCCAATATCGAAGATAAATCCAATATCGCTTTCTCGCTCTCGCTCTCCCTGTGTACCACTCGCCGATGGCTTCGCCTGCCGCCGCCTCCTCTTCGGGTCGATCCTGAGCTTGGTGGCCATGGCGGTGAAGAAGGCGGCCGAGTGCTCCTCCAAGGCGCTGGCCGAGGAGGTGCAGCGCTGGGGAGCCATGAAGCAGAACGGGGTGAGCCTGCGGTACATGATGGAGTTCGGTGCTCGCCCCACCGAGAAGAACCTCCTCCTTTCCGCTCAGTTCCTCCACAAGGAGCTCCCCGTGAGGATCGCCCGGAGGGCCATTGAGCTGGAGTCACTGCCCTTTGGCCTGTCCCAGAAACCCGCCGTCTTGAAGGTACTTCCGTGTGCTTGGTACGGTGTCCATTCTGGCTGCAGATGTGTTTACTGGTCTCGATCCCCAATCTGGTGTCACCATCGCCTAATAAAAAGCTGGTATCTCTGATGAAAATTCCGGACATAATACGTATCGGTGGTCGGGAATCTGCCCTTTCTTTAGACTTGGTCCTAAAAAGACAGATTTTTTTTTGCAGGTAGCAGACTTACAGTAAATCAACCAAAATCTCACTCCTGATCTTGACTTTTGCCCCTTTTTTGGCTATTTTCATCGCATTTTTTCTTTAGGTTCGACATCTCAAGATTTATCTTCTCATAGATTTTGGGAGTAAAATATTTCCACAATCGTAAATATTTGATCTTTTATTTAATATTTTCTTGTTTTTTTTCCTTTTAGTTCCTATAATACAAATACCAAATCCATCAACAACAATGTATGTTTCCTACTGAACATGATGTAGGAGAGTCATGAAGGCTGACATTTCAATTATCCTTTTAAAGGTCAGAGATTGGTATCTGGAATCTTTTCGCGATATCCGATCCTTTCCAGATGTTAAGGACAGCAACGATGAATTAGCTTTCACTCAAATGATAAAGATGATCAAGGTGAGGCATAACAACGTGGTTCCAGCCATGGCTTTAGGTGTACAGCAGCTAAAGAGAGACATAAACTGCAAGGTCGTGTCAGAGCTGGAGGAGATCCATCGATTTCTTGACCGTTTTTACATGTCAAGAATTGGGATCCGCATGCTTATAGGTCAGAGGAAATTCTTCTCTAACTTTCTCAGTGACACAAGTCTTTATTATTCCACTATGCTCTGTTTATACAGCCAAAAGAAAAACTCAGGACAAAGTTTTGTGGCATGATACCTCTGATTTCTGTGGAATTCAGGACAGCATGTGGCCTTGCATGATCCTGATCCAGAACCAGGTTGTATTGGTCAGATAAACACTAGACTTTCTCCGATGCAAGTTGCCCGAACTGCTAGTGAAGACGCCCGCAGTCTCTGCTTTCGAGAATACGGGAGTGCTCCTGACGTTAACATATATGGAGATCCAAATTTCACCTTCCCGTGAGTGTTTCTCTTACATTTGTTGTATGTGATCAATAAATGTATCTTGTTTGTGATATGCTTATTGGTAAGCAACAAATTCAAATGATTGACTTCTTTTATTCTTGGCTTTTGAATTTTCTGTTGAATGTAGGACCCCAAGATCAGGATCAAGATAGAGATCTATACAATTAAATGGTGTTTTCCTGTTTCCTGTTTTACTTATCCTTGCATTTCTTTTGCTTGTCATTGTCACCCTTCTTTCCTTCCTATCTTCGTGCCTCTTCCCTTGATATATGGATCCTTAAATTGCCTGTTCTGTCTTTCTACAAACAGAAGCTGCAGAAGTTTCTAAGCAAGTTGTTCTAATTTCATAAGTGCAATTCCCAGTGTTGTAATAGCATTTGAACTGTCCTTAAAGAGGTGGAAGCACATTTATCTTTATGTTTTATGAAGCAAAATTGATTCTTTTCATGTGATGTTTACCTTTTCTATGTTCTTATGAGTATTGCTCTCTTTCTTCTTATTCTCTTTCTGAAACAGGTATGTTCCATCACATTTGCACCTTATGGTCTTTGAGCTGGTAAAGAACTCTTTGCGTGCAGTTCAAGAGCGTTTCATGGATTCCGACAAAGATGTCCCTCCTGTTAGAATTATTGTTGCTGATGGGATAGAGGATGTTACAATAAAGGTTTGCCTTTAATAGTTGCTTATATCTGTAATTAGTGTTGATTATTTGTTCAAACTTGATATCGAGGAAATTTCTGGCAGGAGAAAACTAGTTGAGTAAAATTGTCCATTATTTTTCATTTACTTACCCCACATTCTTTGTCTTTCTTTCTTTTCAAGGTAATGATTCTATGTTTATATAGCTGTATTCCAGATTCCAGAATTGTTTATATAGGAAAGTAGTCATATGAGTTTACCTAGATTAAAGAAATGGATTGTTTGAACTATAAACGCTACTGTAATTTGAATCATGATCTTTCATCATTTGTGGCAGATATCAGATGAAGGGGGTGGTATAGCTAGAAGTGGCCTTCCAAAGATCTTCACATATCTCTATAGTACTGCAAAGAATCCACTAGATGAGACCTATGAAGGAATCTCAGATGGGGTAACCATGGCTGGTTATGGTTATGGACTTCCAATTAGTCGTCTCTATGCTCGTTATTTTGGTGGTGATCTGCAAATTATCTCCATGGAAGGATATGGTAAGTCCAACTCTTGTTTTGACTTGATACTTGATTCAAGTTCCTTTGACATTGTTTGTAGTCCACCATGATTATGTCTATGTTCTTTTCCAGATGTTGCTTGGCATACATGCATATACCTCACAAATTCCATGTCATCTCATGCAAAACTATATCAATCCTCATGACAGAAATATAGCTTAAGCAGATATTGTATTGCATAAAAAAGATTCTCTATTTGAGACTTGTAAAGTAAGTTACTGCTGCACCATATTTGGTAGGTTTATGTATGATGCACATTTTTTGCTATAAAAACCATCAAAGTATACAGATTTCTTTTTTACATCTTTATTATTTGGATAAAACTAACAAAATTGAGTTTGTGGCAGTTAGCTTGAACTATGTGATTGGAAAAATATAAGACTGTACAATTGAAAATAATGTCAAACTAGTGTAGTTAATTGCATCACCTGGAAACATATTTGATGTATTTGTTACAAAAGATTTATGCAAGGAACAAAATAATGGGAAAATTTATGAAATTTAGCCAATGTGACTCAGGCTATGCTGCAATTTGATAGGTTTTCTGCAATTTGATAGCCACTTGATCAAGCAAGGAAAAGGAAGTTGTGGATATACTTGAATGATTAGAATAGTCTTATGTACTGAGCCTCTTTGTTTTCTCTTTTCCTGTCTTTTTATTATATTATTCTTATGTTCAAGAGATGGTTTTTGTGTTGCCTATACATAGAACATTGAGCTGGGAATTTTCAATATCAATGATGCAAGAAGCCTTTCCATTGTCGAACATATTCAATAGCACCATTTCTATTTTTCTCAGCCCTGTATCACTTCATATGCTAGACGCATACAACCTGTAATACAATTAGGATTTTTCTGATGCATTTTTGTCATTTTTTGCACTGGCGTTTCCAGGAACCGATGCCTACCTTCATTTGTCTCGACTGGGCGACTCACAAGAACCCCTGCCATAAGTTCTTAAATATTTTTCATGCTTGATAAGAAGCTACAATTCTCTCTTGTGCAGAGCTAAGGCTGTAGATCTGTGCTTTAAGCTTGAATTTTGCAGATGATTTCCACACATCAAAGTCAGCATCGATCATTGCAGAAAAAAAAATATGGAAAGAAACTTTGAAATCTATGCTAGTTGAATGAAACTGAAGCTTCTCATATCCATTCAGATGATTCATATTTGTGGCATTGCAGATGATTTCGGTACTTCAAAGTCAGCATTGAACATTGCAAACGAAAAAAAACTTTGAATTCAATGCTAGTTGAATGAAACTGAAGCTTCTCATTTGCATTCAGATGATTCATATTTGTGGCATTGCAGATGATTTCCATACCTCAAAGTCAGCATTGATCATTGCAAAAGAAAAACACTTTGAAATCTGTGCTAGTTGAATGAAACTGAAGCTTCTCATTTCCATTCAAATGATTTATATTTGTGGCATTGCAAGAAGGGGTCCAAATCAACAGGAAAACCTGTCGACATGAGCTTAACAGCTCTTTCCCAAGGATGCTCGTTATGTACAACACTTAACCTTATTCCATTTATACATCACTTCACCTTATTCCCATTGTGCATCATTCCTACACCTAATGCCGTGCCACAATTCAACAAGAGTCGTCTCCCAGCTCTTCCGATAGCTTGGCACACATCTGGATGAATGAAGAAAAATGTTGAGATGCCAGTGATGGATTCTACAGCAGCTTAGCTTTGAGGTCTTTAATCCTCAGTGAGACATGACATGATACCTTTCTATACAAGGAAGAATCACCATCCAATCTTCTCAGTTCCACAACATGCAGAGATGGGCTGAGCTTCAAGATCTGCATGCCACAAACGTGAGATCAATGCCTGAAGGAATTCTTAGCACAGACTCATCAAGAACATGGGAAAGAAAGATTGAACAGGAAAAAGGAAATCACCTCTGCAGCAGCAGAGAGTGAACTCTTTGAATCCTTGGACTTTGTTCCTACTTTCAACTGTCAATAGAAACCAAAGTAGGTTTATCTTTTGGGTGTCAATCTGGATATGGAATGTATCAGAGAAATCTGTGTCTACTCACTTTGCCATGTCCCTTCTGAGCCTCCAACCCCATTTCTGTGACAATGTCCACAATCTTGTCTGACAAATCTTTTGGCGAATGCGTCGAGGTGAACCTAGTTTTCCTTTCGGAAACATCCTGCAAATGCCAAATCTTTTCAGTGCTCACTTCTCCACAAGATGATGACAGCTTAATGGATCACAAGTTTGATATGTGGAACTTCAATCACACATGAGATGAAGGCCACTTTAGCATGCAGAAAGTTGATCTTGTCATGTTCATCAAGTCTCAGAGAGTAAAATTTAGTCGAGCAGTGAGTATGAGACTGAGGAAAACATCCGACACTTCTACCTCGTTCTCAAAGAAGCCAGAAAGATCAAGAGATGCAGACATTCCAATCAGCTGAAATGCATTGACAGGTGAAGTGCCATTTCCATCCAATACATTATGCTGCAACAAACCAAGTGATCAGTTCCATCATTAATATCCGAATTCATCAAATTTAAGTACCCACAAACTTCACCACCACCTCCTTAATCGGAAGAGAGCCATATAGGCTCGAATCATCGTTGTCGTCGTAGTCGAATGGGACAGCCGGAGAATAGTCTTTCTTGAACCAGTCATCTGCTCTGATTCCAGCCACATTGATCCGGGTTACAGGATTTGGATCAAGAATTCTCCTCAACATGTTTTGAGCTCCAGGAGAGAGCCACCTGGGGATCTTGGTATCTCCCCTACAGATCTGCACCAAACCAGAGACGAGCTCAATGAAGAACCAAACTGGTCATGAACTGATCAAAGCATCTCATTCCATGCTTGCGAGATTAGAGTTATGCACCTTCTGGCAAAGAACAGCGAAGTTTCTGTCATCGAAAGGAAGACACCCTGTAAGAATCACGTACAGAATGGCACCGCAGGACCAGATATCCGACCTTGCACCGTCGTAACCTCGGTTGCAGAGAACCTTTGGTAGCATTGCCATTAGTAGCTTGTCAAGCTAACCAGCAGCAGAAGAAACATGAGTATGTAGAAGACAGTGATGCAGATTCATTACGTTACCTCAGGAGCAATGTAATTGGGGCTTCCACATGTTGTGTGTAGCAATCCATCATTCTGATGCACAGAATCCGCAGGTGAGACAAAAATAAGAAGGATGTCATCGAGAGATTTGAATCACATACCCCGAGATGCTGAGGTAGAGCACTGAGGCCGAAATCAGATATCTTTATGTTTCCTTTTGCATCCACAAGCACATTTTCCGGCTGTAATCAAAGCAAAAAAGAAACGAGAAACCTCAAAAGAAGAATCAGCGATGAAACTTCTCGAGTACAGTTGGATTAATCACCTTCAGATCTCTGTGGTAGACTCCCTTATCATGACAATGGCTAACACCATCGATCAACTGCTGGAAGAGCTTCCTTCCTTCGCCTTCTGAAAGCTTACCTTTTGATGCCTTCGACATCAAACAACAAAAACAAGAACTCATACAGGAGCTGATGCAAAAGCAATTCGACCAACATGTAAAAGATTTGTCAAGTCCATGATCCTCACAATTTTGTCGAACAGTTCACCGCCGTTCACGTATTCGAGGACCATGTAAATCTTGGTTTTGCTAGCTGATACCTGCCACACAACACAATCAATCCATAGGGGTTGAACCATCGATCAACAACTTAAAAGTCTTCATCTTGACATAGATATCAATCCTTTTTCCAGGTGCCATTGCCCTGTTCTGCATCATCATCACCTTCTTCTTTCTGAAGAAAGGAGACTGAGACTGCTGTCATTCGATCCAACAACGTTGACGACAAAGATTCACGTGGTCGCAGTTCCCGAAGGAAGGTCGCCTCACCGGACTCCATGTTCAGAACGGAGGGACCCGACAGAATCTTGCGTTGAGTCGTCAGTTGGAGAGGGCCCCACTGGGGATGGGGATGATCGGCTTGCATTGGATTCTCGATCGTTCTTTTTTCCTTATTTCTAATTTTTATTACGTTAAATAACGAACAAATACTATTATTATATAATTTAATATTTCATTAAATAGGAATACTCTGCCGGTGAGACCCACAAATAATTGGCCGCGGCTGGTGTTCAGGACCACATGTCAGCCGTCGGCCAAAAGGGCCCCACGTCGCGCGGTTAATCCGCGCCGGGAAGAGAGTCGACCACCCACCTCGGGATGGATACGAATGAGGACGTGCGCGTTATTGTCCGTGAAGGAATGGAGGCATCTAATGCCGAACCAATGCACGGATCACATAATCTTGCGCAATAATTCCTCGCGGAGAGGATTAATATCGATGGTCAGATGGAAGGAGAGAGCGAGGAAGAAGAAGAAGAAGACGAAGACGATGACCAACCTCATGTAACCGGACGACGTTGGGGTGCTTCAACAGCTTCAACGTGCCGATCTCCCTCTTGATCTGTGGCATCTCTTGCATGGTTAATTCACTTCACAGGTATGCCTACAGAACGGAAGGAGAGGTCATCAGAAGAAGCATGTTTAGGCAACAACCTGGTCGTCGATCTTGAGCGACTGGATGCGCTTGCGGTCGAGGATCTTGACGGCGAAGGCCAGCCCGGAGTCGACGTGCCTGGCGTACCTCACCTTGCCGAAGTTGCCCTCGCCCAGCGTCCTCCCTAGCTCGTACTTCCCGAGCACTCGCACCCCCTCTTCTCCTCCTTCCCTCACCATCTATATATATTTCTTGATCCACGCACGCAGGCAGCGGCCCTCCTCCTTTGTGCCTCTCTTGCTGTGGAGAAGGAGCTCGGAGGAGAAGGAGGCGAACGGGGTCAGAGCTGGAGATGCGGCCCTTCGTTATACATGAGGACAGGGGAGGAAGGGAGGTGAGGAGACGGCCTTCCTTCCCCTCGCAGCTTCAATAATACCTGCATTTATTCACCCTGCAAGGAAGGCAAGAATGGAGTAATTAGGGTGCAGGTTGCACCAATCACGGGGGTGTGCTTTTACCGCAATGGCCTCCTGTCTCGTGGCATGTAAGATGATGATGATGAAGAAGAAGAAGAAGAAGGGCGTGTTGCTGTCAACGTTATTCTTATATTGGCATATATACGTAAACTTAGCATGTAACTATTGGCGAGGCTGTGTTGCCACCATGTCCTTTGGGTGGAGGTCGTTAATGGCTGCGGCTTGCACGTAGAGACGAGGAGGACCAAAGAGAGAAGGAGAAAGGCGACGGGATATTCTCACGTACATGTAATAATAACTTTCCTCTCACGTACATGTCTTATCGATCAAATCTGACACGTAGAATTCATATCAACATGAAAGTAATATAAGTAGATTATATGTAAAGATAGAAAGCACATATGAAGATATTTGTAATAATTCCAAAGATACGGATGATTGAACTGGCCTAATTTGGGAAGTGGATCAAATCTTAGCTAGCAAGAGGAAGATTCTCGTACCAAAAATGGTGTTCCAATGAGGATGTCGTTCTCATACAACTTAAGATAATTGAAACCCTACAATTATATAAATAATTTTATAATCATCATTTATAATTCGATCAAAATATTTACCAGTTAATGTCATTTTACCTTCCTCTATATAGATGGCAACAAAGACAACCTGACTCATCTCATGTCTCCTGGTTATAAGTTCCCTAAGATCTTATGGTTTGTAGTTGTAAGTAGCTTTCCTATCATTTATTTCGATGATACGATACAAGACGTAGGACGATGGATCATTAACAAAATGTTTGACAAAGTGTTGATAGTGAAGTTTATCTTATATGAGGTAATACATGGGGTAAGAATTAAATCGGGTTACTATTTATAATCATAAACTTTTTTTTATTTAGATACAATAATAATAATAAATCATAAATTTTAATTATTCGAGGTTAGCTACGTATATTTAGTTAAGTTTAAAATATTTAAATTTTTATCAATTATTTTTATTAAAAAAATTTTAGGTCTTCGTATCCTAAGCACATATTCATACCATTTTATCCTAAACGATTCTCTCTCACCTTATCAATATCAAAGCAATCTATAATTATTTATAAATAAAAAAATATTTATTTATCTTTTCTATCCGTATCAACTAAAATCTTAGTGTTTTCATCTCTATAATGTAAATTATATATTATTAGTCTCATAATTATTTTTTTTTTTTTTTTTATGAAATTCTGAAAGGAAGAATAAATAGATACTTTGTGATTCTTTTCTTGGTGAGCGAGCTAAAAGGCTTGTGTGAATGGAGCTCAGTTTCTTTCCGGTGAAGAATAGACCTTCTTTGACTTCAGGTGCACGCTTCTATCGAGCTACCTTTGCAGGTTCCACCATGACTTGTTGACTCAGGAAACTCTTGTTCTAGATGGTCAATGGCTGACCTCAAATGATGTTGCAGCGGCAACCATTCCTCGTCTCAGGAGGAAGCTTCCTGCCTCCTCCTGCCCTGTCCATGGTGTTGGCAAACAGACATAACATGACAGATGTGAAAGAGCAGTCATCTCTGTTTGAATATTTTAGTGCAGAGACGTAATGCTCGTTCGAGAAGTCAGAAGAACCTTCACGTATGTCTCATACTTTTCTCCCTCGTGCGCCTGAGGTGGTCTTCGTCAATGGAGCACGAACTTGTCTGACAGCATCTCCCATGGCGTTGGCGTCACACTATGTTCTGCGTTAATTGTCGTCGACTGATCTTTCTTTTCTGAAATGTTGTTGACCTCTCGTTGCTGCGTGTGTTCATATCTCAAAACTTCCATGTGTCGACAGAGGTGGCCATGACTGTGGTGCTGTCAATGTGCGGTAGAAAGCTATCGATCCTTCCCGTGCTTCCAGAAGGATGGCTTCTGCTTATTCTAAAGATCTATGGATGTGTCATCCAACTTGGTGTTATAGAATTGCGATGCCATCTGTGGACATGGAACCTGGTCACCCTTAGACTGTGGCAGACGTGTTCTAACACTGGATTTGGTTAGCAGGATAAGGATGTGAGGTGCATTTATTGTTCCTCCAACAGAGAGTCAGTGGATGAGGCCAATATATTATCTGTAACCAAGAATTAGTAGGTAGAGGTGATGATAACGAGGAGAAGGTGGGATGAGTGCTGATACTGTTGGCTTCCACCATGGCTTTTGATCTGCATAAAGCACTACCTCTGTTTAATATATGTTGATCACCAAATACAAAAGAACTTAATCTGTGTTCAGCTTTCCTTTTCAGACTCAGAAACATCAGATCCTCAGATGACAGATCATTTGACATTACAATTCGAGGCAAAAACAACAATAGAAAGAATAAAGATGATTGACTGCTTAGATTTCTTTTGTACATACACAGTAGACAACATTGAAGAGCAAATCACACACCACAAACCCCTCAATTCACAGTCTCACAATCCACTAGACTCTCTGCCTGCTTAAAAGCAGCTCTTCTTCCACTAGTTTCTCTATCCTACTCATCTAACTTTGTGCTTATGATCGCATTTTTCTTACCTCGAGAAATTGCATCGATCACTCCAAAGTTTCTTCTGAGGCACTGAAAGCTCTGTTTTGAGCACTTCTCCCACTCACTGTCTTCTTTTACTGTGGTGCCTTCAGGTAACTAAGAGCTGACCGGCATGTGGCAGTTGGGCGACCGGACCAGCCGGGAAGATTTCTGGCCTGTTGCTGAAACCCAGGCCGGTCTGTCCCTGAACCGCCACGGGAACCGGACAAAGAACCGGCGCCGTAGAAGGAGAAGTGGGGGCGGCTGCGTCCGTGGCCTCCCCCCGTTTCCTCCTCTTCGGTGAGGAGGAGGAGGAGGAGTAGGAGGCGGAGGAGCTGTAGGAAGATGACGAGGTCGAGGAAGAGTAGGAGGAGCTGGGCTCCGGAGAGGCTCGCTTCGAAGGGGACGGCACAGGGGAAGTGGCCCTGGCCGCAGCCTCCTCGGAGCCGATCCGGAGCGGGAAGTTGAGCAGGGCCCGGGAGCCCCGCATCCGGTAGGCGGCGCGGTCGTAGGCGAGGGCCGCGTCCTCCGCCGTCTCGAACGTGCCCAGCCACACCCTCGCCCCGTTCCTCGCCGGGTCCCTGATCTCCGCCGCGTACTTCCCCCACGGCCGCTGCCGCACCCCCCGGTAGTGCTTCCCCTTCGCCGGCGCGGCCCTCAACGGCGCCTGCTTCTGCTGCTGGCCCACCTGGACCGCCAGCGGCGGCGGCAGCACCCCCTCCTCCTCGGCGGGGGGCTCAGGCTTGACGCCGGAGGGGAGCCATCCGTGGTGGAACGCGTCGCGGAGGGCGCCGTAGACCACCATGTCGTCGGAGTCGTCGAGGCGGAAGGGGAGCCCGTCGGACCACAAGTCGGCGACGAGGCTCCCGAAGCTGGAACTCCGGCGGTAGGCCCTCGCCGAGGAGGACACCTTCGGGTCGGGGTTCGAGTCGTCGACGTCGACGAGGAGGTGGTGGCGGACCGCCTCGAGGAGGGCGAGTTCCTCCGCGCGAGACATGCTACGTTTGCGGTGACCGTTCAGTGAGATTGATCACGAGGCGACCGGTGAGCTTTAGCGGCTTGCGAAGTGGAGGAAGGGGAAGGTGGGAGGCTAATATAGCGGGGTGGAAGGAAAAGAGGGCCTCGTGCTTCCTTGAAGCTTCCGGGTTTTAGCACGTGACAGAAACCTTCTCTTTCCTTTTTCTTTTTATTATTATTATTTGAATTATCTGGTTTTTTGAAGGCCACGATAAAAGGTAAAGAATTACGACTCGAACCGGGTGACGTCATAAAACCGGTAGGTCAAGAGCGATGGCGTCACAGGTGAGGTGGTCGGACGTCACGGGTGGTCCTGGCGAATCCTGGGCCGCTCAATTACTCGCCGATTTAATTGTGCGGATGGTGATTGCAAGAATACGCTGCTGCATTAATGGTTTTCGGCTATTATAATTTGATTGGTGTAATTACATATTAATTATCTTTAACATCCTTATATTTTTTTAAAAATTATATTAAAATCATTATATTTATGAAAGTAAAATATTAAAAATCTATATATAGTATTAAAAAATAATTTTATAAAATTAAAATTTTAAAAACAATAATTTTTTTAAAATTTAAAATATTAAATGTAACTAATTATATGAGATAAAAAATATAATTAGTCTAATTTGATAAGAATAGAAAATGATGATGATTTGATTTAGGTACTTCCAAAGCTTTTTTATTTAAAATACGAAAGGTGAGAGATTTTTTATTTGAGCCAAAAAAAAATCAATTTTTTCCATTAAAAATCAAGATTTTTTTTCAAATGTATAATGCAAGAGAATGAATGATTTGTTCCCAATTATTTGGGGTCTTGTAATTTCCATTTCACTGTTATATTATCTTAAAAATTGGTATGTACTTGTATATATTATTTTAAATTGATAGAACATATTTTCCACAACAAAAAAAATATAAAAAAAAATTACTTGTACATATTATTATTTGATATAAAGCATGCATTCCAAGTGTTTCACTTTTGGTGAAGAGAGGCCAAAGGTTATCTATCATATGATGAAGGAATCAGCAATAATGTTGCAGTGATCGTAATCATGTTTGCTATCATTAAGTATCGTTCATTCTCACTTTGGCTCTCATTCTCTCTCCACTAAATCGACATCAATCAAAGAGTTGAAGCTATCGATACTGATCGGAACAGTCCCACTCGCCAAACTTTGGGGTCCATGAAATGTATTATCATGTTCTATTTTGCTGATGCGATAGAGCAACTAAGATCCCACGAAGTTCACATTTTGTGGATGATTCCTGTTTCCAGATATTGTGTTTGTCATGAGGTGGGAGCGTTGCATTGCCATGCCATCATAGATAGAGTGAAGAACACGTTTCATCGATTTGCAGGAGAATGACGTGACGGACTTTGGTGGCTGTCTACGACTATGAAGATGTACATCGTTTATGAAGTGACTCACAAAGATTTTTGATCGTAACATGAGGCTATGGATCAAAACAAAGCATCAAGAAATGAAGTCGATGTGAAGTGTGGTGAATGGCTAAGAAGTTAGCTAATTAACAAGGAGGAGTTGTTGTTGATCATTAGTAGGTTGGTTATTAATACACTACTAATTGGCACTTTCAATCTATTAAAAGCTAATTGATTATCTATATCTAACTCATTAGTACATCCAAGTTAGCTTATAAATAATCTATTATATATATATATATATATATATATATATGAGAGAGAAAATATATCTTGTCAATTTTGTAATAATATTTGTTTATTTCGATATCTATGATGTCTAACCATTTCGGTCCGAGTATCTCTTATGTCTAACCATTAAAAGAGAATGATTCATTATGACCTAATAATAAATAAATAATTTATTATATATGAGAGAAAATATATCATGTTAATTTTATAATAATATTTATTCATATTGGTATTTCTTATATCGTAATCAATAATTTTAGTCCAAGAAAAAGAAAGATCCACTATGACCCAACAGTAAGTGAAAATGATGTATCACACTTTGACAATTTAACATGATATTATTTATCACATATCTACAAGAATCCGTACTCTTTTCTAAGCATCATATATCACTCTTTATAATATATTCCACATCATTTTTCTTCAAAATCGTATGAGAAATCTTTTTGATAGAACATATTTTGGTATTATCTTACGGTAACAATCAGCAGCCACATCAGCACTAATGCACTGCATCGACATGACATCTTGAACATGGATGGACGATCACTTGTTCCCGTGTCGTTCATACGAGATAATACCGCATAGTATAGGATCATTCCGGAAATCTCAGAACGATGTCGATCTATGTAGGTCGGTCGATGCCCACACATAATGTATGAGTGATCGTTCGAGGAGTCGAAAGCCATTAACATATCATGTACAACCAACCTTCATTTGTAGGTATAAAAGCCAACCTTCTGACCAGCATCGAGGGTTGGATTTCGAATATCTCAACTCCCTCTAACTCAACTCAACAATGGCTTAAGCTTCAAAGGGGTTGAGTATGGAAATCCTCTTTCTGATCTTGGCCTGTGCACAGGAACTTGATGACAAAACAGTAACCCAACATGAGAGGAAGAAAAACTCCTTGCCGTACTTTGAATCGATTCTGATGATGAAGCTCAGACCATCCCAGTTCAAACATCCTTATGCGTGATTCTATACCACTTAAGATTGTACCAAGTTATGCTGATTCAATAACTATAAGGTTGTCCAACACCTCTCCAATCAAATATTATAAAAACTATTAATTATCATCATGCCATCAACTTATTTCAAACCCCTATTTTTAAGTTTTCTTATCACTTTAAAATATAAAAATTACATACTTTAAACAACAAAACTCTTTTTGTTTATCTTATAGACAACCCTAACTAAAGAGGATGTATCATGTGAAGCAAGAAATGTGAATTCAATAGGCTTCGCTGAACCAGCGAATATAGAAGATTCAGAGGATGACGATGATGATGACGAAGGAGGAGAAGAAGAGGAAGAACGAAGTTTATCGCTTGGAATAAGAATATAAGAACGAAGAGGAGGAGGTATTGCACATTTGGAGGTGCACCGCACTTGTGTAGGCAACAAGAAAGCAGAAAGGGTGGAACCGAGGAATCGGCGATGAGCAAGGCGAGGGAAGAGGCGTGCGTTGTACCTGGACGAGGATAAGGTCCACCCTCCCCACCCGTAATCGGTGGGGCCCCCTCGGCTCGTGCATGCGTCGACGCCGTCGTGGTCGTGGGTCCCGCATCCTCCGATCCACGCGGCTTGGCTTGGTTCGTTTAGGAA